TTGTGTTGTTGTAGTTTTGTGTAGTTTTGTGTTTTTGTTGTATTGTAGTTTTGTGTTTTGTGTTGTGTGTTTTTGTGTTTTTGTGTTGTTGTGTTTTGTGTTGTTGTTTGTGTTGTAGTTTTGTGTTTTGTGTTGTGTATGTAGTTTTGTGTTTTGTTTTGTGTTGTTTGTTGTTTTGTGTAGTTTTGTGTTTGTGTGTTGTTTTTGTGTTTTGTGTTGTTTGTGTTGATGTAGTTTTGTGTTTTGTGTTGTTGTAGTTTTGTGTTGTTGTAGTTTTGTGTTTTGTGTTGTTGTAGTTTTGTGTTTTGTGTTGTTTTGTAGTTTTGTGTTTTGTGTTGTTGTAGTTTTGTGTTTTGTGTTGATGTAGTTTTGTGTTTTGTGTTTGTTGTAGTTTTGTGTTTTGTGTTGTTGTAGTTTTGTGTTTTGTTGATGTAGTTTTGTGTTTGTGTTGTTGTAGTTTTGTGTTTGTTGTGTTTTTGTGTTTTGTGTTGTTGTAGTTTTGTGTTGTTGTTGTAGTTTTGTGTTTTGTGTTGATGTAGTTTTGTGTTTTGTGTTGTAGTTTTGTGTTTTGTGTTTTGTGTTTTGTTTGTAGTTTTGTGTTTTGTGTTGATGTAGTTTTGTGTTTTGTGTTGTTGTGTTTTGTGTTGTGTAGTTTTGTGTTTTGTGTTGTTGTGTAGTTTTTGTGTTTTGTGTTTTGTGTTTGTGTTTTGTTAGTTTTGTGTTTTGTGTTGTGTTTTGTGTTTGTTGTGTTTTGTTGTGTTAGTTTTGTGTTTTGTGTGTGTTGTTTTTGTGTTTTGTTTGTTGTTTTGTGTTTGTGTATGTTTTTTGTGTTTTGTGTTGTTGTAGTTTTGTGTTTGTGTTGTGTTTTGTGTTGTTGTAGTTTTGTGTTTTGTGTTTTGTGTGTAGTTTTGTGTTTTGTGTTGTTGTAGTTTTGTGTTTTGTGTTGTTGTAGTTTTGTGTTGTTTGTGTTTTGTTTGTGTAGTTTTGTGTTGTGTGTTGTAGTTTTGTGTTGTTGTGTAGTTTTGTGTTTTGTGTTGTTGTAGTTTTGTGTTTTGTGTTGATGTGGTTTTGTGTTTTTCAGCTGGAGGACGAGCGGCTCAGAGACTCTGAGCTCATCCTGAGAAACTCCACCACATTAAAACTCTTCTGATCGTCTGAGTTTGGGACAAATGTTCAAATTATTTTTGTAAAAACATTAAAGAATTGTTCTTTTGTTCCTAATTCGTCGGTCCATGTTGTTCTTCTTCTTCTCTGGGGTCAAGTCTCAGAGCATCAGTCTGAACATAGACTCCCAGACTTCCCACTCCCCAGACACTTCCTCCAGCTCCTCCAGTGTGTCCTGGGTCTCCTCCTCCTCCTGGTGGGACATGAACACCTCCTGAGGGACACGTCCAGGAAACATCAGAACAGACGTCCTCCCCTCAGACGCTCCTCTCCACGTGGAGGAGCAGCGGCTCTACTCCTCCTCCCCTCAGACGCTCCTCTCCACGTCTCTCCGAGCTCCGACCTCTGTCTCTAAGGGAGACGTTCCTCTGCACAGAACGTCTGAAACTGTGAGAAGGAAAATAAGAATGAAGTTTTTAGTGAAACTGAACAAACACCACCTGCCTCACCTGTCTCACCTGCCTCACCTGTCTCACCTGTCTCACCTGCCTCACCTGCCTCACCTGTCTCACCTGTCTCACCTGTCTCACCTGTCTCACCTGTCTCACCTGTCTCACCTGTCTCACCTGTCTCACCTGTCTCACCTGTCTCACCTGCCTCACCTGTCTCACCTGCCTCACCTGCCTCACCTGCCTCACCTCACCTGCCCTCACCTGTTTCTCACCTGCCTCACCTGTCTCACCTGTCACCTGTCTCACCTGTCTCACCTGCCTCTCACCTGTCTCACCTGTCTCACCTGTCCTCACCTGTCTCACCTGTCCTCACCTGCCTCACCTGCCTCACCTGCCTCACCTGTCCTCACCTGTCCTCACCTGTCCTCACCTGTCTCACCTGCCTCACCTGTCTCACCTGTCTTCACCTGTCTCACCTGCCTCACCTGCCTCACCTCACCTGCCTCACCTGTCTCACCTGCCTCACCTGTCTCACCTGCCTCACCTGTCTCACCTGTCTCACCTGTCTCACCTGCCTCACCTGTCTCACCTGTCTCACCTGTCTCACCTGCCTCACCTGCCTCACCTGTCACCTGTCCTCACCTGTCTCACCTGCTCACCTGTCTCACCTGCCTCACCTGTCTCACCTGCCTCACCTGTCTCACCTGTTTCACCTCACCTGCCTCACCTGCCTCACCTGCCTCACCTGTCTCACCTGCCTCACCTGTTCACCTGCCTCACCTGCCTCACCTGCCTCACCTGCCTCACCTGCCTCACCTGTCTCACCTGCCTCACCTGTCTCACCTGCCTCACCTGTCTCACCTGCCTCACCTGCCTCACCTGTCTCACCTGCCTCACCTGTCTCACCTGTCTCACCTGGTGGAGGTTTATGTTGTGGGAGTTGGAGGATCTGATCCCAGATCAGCTGCAAAAACAAAAACAAAAACCCTAAAAGACCAAGAAACATTTAAGACGACACGTTTCTACTCAACTTTACTCCTCATTTATTATTTTAAATCATAATTCAAATATATATAAAATGTGTCGTGTCAAACAAAACTACATTTAAAATAAGAAGCTGAAAAGAGAAAAAATGTTCCTGTGAAACAGAATGAAGAATAAATAATTTATCACCACATCAATAAAAAAAGAAATTTAATAAAGTTTGATCTGGATTAGACGATAATTTACAACAAATCTGACAACTTTTAAAGAACCAGACTAAACCAGGACTAAACCAGGACTAAACCAGGTCTAAACCAGGTCTAAACCAGGTCTAAACCAGGTCTAAACCAGGTCTAAACCAGGTCTAAACCAGGTCTAAACCAGGTCTAAACCAGGACTAAACCAGGAAACTAAACCAACCCAGGTCTAAACCAGGTCAGGTCTAAACCAGGTCTAAACCAGGACCAGGTAAACCAGGTCTAAACCAGGTCTAAACCAGGAGGTCTAAACCAGGTCTAAACCAGGTCTAAACCAGGAACTAAACCAGGTCTAAACCAGGTAAACCAGGTAAACCAGGTCTAAACTAAACCAGGTCTAAACCAGGACTAAACCAGGTCTCTAAACCAGGTCTAAACCAGGTCTAAACCACCAGGACTAAACCAGGACTAAACCAGGTCTAAACCAGGTCTAAACCAGGTCTAAACCAGGACTAAACCAGGTCTAAACCAGGTCTAAACCAGGACTAAACCAGGACTAAACCAGGACTAAACCAGGACTAAACCAGGTCTAAACCAGGACTAAACCAGGTAAACTAAACCAGGACTAAACCAGGACTAAACCAGGACTAAACCAGGACTTGCAGATTTGTTTCAGTCTGTGATAAAAATGTTCCATAATAAACGTCTTTTATTCTTTTGTGAGGAGGAAACGACCTGAGATCAGCTCAGAGAAAAACACGAGTAAAAGTAAAAATACTCAAACAGTTGAAGTATTTGTACTTTTCCTGCAGTCCTGGTTTGTTCTCCTCGTCCGTGTTGTTGTGTCTGTGTCTTCGTGTCCCTCGTGTCCTCGTGTCCTTCGTGTCCTCGTGTCCTTCGTGTCCTTCGTGTCCTTCGTGTCCTTCGTGTCCTTCGTGTCCTCGTGTCCTCGTGTCCTTCGTGTCCTTCGTGTCCTTCGTGTCCTTCGTGTCCTCGTGTCCTTCGTGTCCTCGTGTCCTCGTGTCCTCGTGTCCTCGTGTCCTTCGTGTCCTCGTGTCCTTCGTGTCCTTCGTGTCCTCGTGTCCTCGTGTCCTCGTGTCCTTCGTGTCCTCGTGTCCTCGTGTCCTCGTGTCCTCGTGTCCTTCGTGTCCTTCGTGTCCTCGTGTCCTCGTGTCCTCGTGTCCTTCGTGTCCTCGTGTCCTCGTGTCCTTCGTGTCCTCCTCGTGTCCTCGTGTCCTCGTCCTCGTGTCCTCGTGTCCTGTCGTGTCCTCGTGTCCTCGTGTCCTCGTGTCCGTGTCCTCGTGTCCTCGTGTCCTTCGTGTCCTTCGTGTCCTTCGTGTCCTTCGTGTCCTCGTGTCCTCGTGTCCTTCGTGTCCTCGTGTCCTCGTGTCCTCGTGTCCTCGTGTCCTCGTCGTGTCCTTCGTGTCCTGTCCTCGTGTCCTTCGTGTCCTCGTGTCCTTCGTGTCCTCGTGTCCTCGTGTCCTTGTGAAACTCGACCCCCGACACTCCTCCGCTCAGAGCCAATCAGCTCTCTGCGCTCTGACCCCAGCTCACCTCTGCCTTTGTGCCTTTGAGCCGCGCACCAATCACACGCCGGCTCCAGACACGCCTCCCCCCCGCCCACACACACACACACACACACACACACACACACACACACACACACACACACACACACACACACACTTCCTGAATAATACAGGACTGTTCCTGGACGAGCGACAGTAACGTCAGACTGAGGAAAGAAAAAGGATTTGGTCAGAATTATTTAAAAATCGTCTCAGTGAGAAAAAAAAAACAGAAAAAAATTAGAAAATGTGAAAATGTTCTGGACTGTTTAAAAATAAAAAGGCAGATCTAAACCAGGACTAAACCAGGACTAAATCAGGTCTAAACCAGGACTAAACCAGTTTTAGATTTGGGACTAAACCAGGATTTGCAAATTCATTTTCTCCATAAAAAACGTTTTTCATTTTGTCCGGTTTGATCCAGGGAAGAAAGTCTTGGTCTGGTCTTGGTCTGGTCTTGGTCTGGTCTTGGTCTTTGGTCTTGGTCTTTGGTCTTGGTCTTTGGTCTTGGTCTGGTCTTGGTCTGGTCTTGGTCTTTGGTCTTGGTCTGGTCTTGGTCTTTGGTCTGAACGTTTCTCGCTGTCGGTTTGTGGTAAATAGAATCTTTTTAAAAAGTGAAAATGTTTGAAAATAAAAACTCTTTTGTTATAATAATTATTCCACTTTGTTGTCGCTGTTGCTTTTCGTAGAATTTATTTCCTAGAACTTTTCATTTGTTGTTTTTTGTTTGTCTAAATTGAAATAAAAATAATGATATAAAACACAAAAATGAAACACAAATGTTGAGATTGTTTGAGAGAATCCGAGGTTTTGTCTCTTCAGGTCCGGAGTCGCTGGAGACAAACACTAAACACTGTCGATTCTGCACAAAAAGAAATATATTAGTTTATAAAAATCAGTAAAAGTCACTGTTGAGTCGAGCTGCTCAGACTGAAGAAGAGTTTCTGTTCTGACTCAGCAACAAAAAGTGAAACAACAGAACAAAAATGTAATTTAAAAAACACATTTAAAATAAAAATAACAGTTTTATTTCTGACATGAGGGAAAATCTAAAAATGTTTTTGTGATTCTGAACAGAACTGACAGAAGAAACATGTGACTCCAGATCTGGACCAGAACCAGGTCTGTTTTAAACTCACAGAGGGAAAAGAAGAACTACTGTTACTCGAGTAAAAGTACTGCACTACTATAGTACTCTGTACTTTATATTACTCAAGTAAGAGTAAAAGTATCTGGAAAAGTAATGTAACTGAGTGACCAGATGTAACTGTAAAACCAGAACTGAACCAGGACTAAACCAGGACTAAACCATAACTGAACCAGAACTAAACCAGGACTAAACCAGGACTAAACCAGGACTAAACCAGGACTAAACCAGGAACTAAACCAGAACTGAACCAGGACTAAACCAGGACTAAACCAGGACTAAAGTAGGAGTAAAAGTATGTAGAAAAGTACTTCTCGTGCGTAAAAGCAAAACTCCCCAAACCAGACGTGATTTAAAAAACGGCCCCGGGTCCCTGAGCGCCTCGGGTCACTCAGGTCAGTCAGGTCCTCGTGTCTCGTGCGTCTCGTGCCCCTCCTCGGGCGTCAAACATCAAACGCGGCGGCCCCGGAACTCGACGCGACGCCGTTTGTTTCCGCACGAACCAATAACTGTGTCCGTGGCGCCGCCGTGCGCATTTACGCGGAGCAGCGGCGGCGGCGGAGATGGCGGCGGCAGCGCTCAGAGCGGTGAGTCCAGCCCGAGTCCAGCCCGAGTCCCCCCCGAGTCCACCCCGAGTCCCACCGGGCTCCGGCTGCGCACACGAGCCGCGCCCGGTCAATGATTCACCGGGACCGACAGAAAAACGCGTTTCCGCCAAAAAAAAAACACGTCAAAAAAAAAGCTCCGAACCGCGTCCACCCGCAGCGACGTGGCCCAACCTGCGCTCGCTTCTCGGCTTATTCTGCGCCACTTTTGCGGATCTCTTTGCACTTTTTTTCTAGATTAAAATCGCTCTTGAATTCGGCTCGTGTCTCGTTTTTATTTGGCGCTCGTGGTTTGACACAGAAATGTGTTCATTTTGACCTCGGCGCGTGTTGATTTGAGGCTCTGGAAGCGGCGTGACGCTTTAACCGAGCTTCTCTTTCAAACAAACGCGTTTATTGACATTTTATCTGCGCCGAATGAACTAAAACACATTAAAATAGAGAATTAAAGTGTTTACAGCTGCATTCTTGTTTGCAGAGAGACGCAGTTTGCAGAAAAATCGTCACGTTTGCAGTTTGTGAGCGCGGTTCGTTTTGCTGCTGGAGTGTTTGTGATTCTTTCTGAAGTGTGGCGTGACTCGACCTTCAGTGACGCGTTTACATTTCAGATTAGATGTTTTTTTCCTTCTGTTTGGGCTCCACCTGCTTCTCCAGATTACACAGTTTACTTTGGTTTGGTTTTCAGAGCTTTTGTGGATGAATCATCAGTGACAGAAAATGATTAGTATTTTTGGTCTTACATGAGTCGAACAGGGACTTTTTTGGAACTTTAGGGGAGTTTAAGTTCATTAAAGCCACATTATGTCACTTTCTAGCTGCGAAATCTGCCAAAATAAAAGCATGCATTTCATATTTTTTGTTTTTCTTGCACTGAACAAGATAAAAACTGTCGGTCTGAGCTGCTCGCGTCTCCACAAACCTGACTCCACTTTGTCCTTTATTCAGTGTTTTTTTTTTTTTTAAGTTTATTTCTGTTTCTGTCGCAGATGTTTTGAGTTTTTGAGCAAAAGTGTGAAAAAATCTAAAATACCTAAAGCACAAAAACAGACAAGACACAGAAGTTCCACAGATAAAACTCGTTCACAACATTTTCAGGGAGTTTTTAGTTGGAAACAAAATAATTGAAGAGTAAAGAGTAAATGAGCAGATGTTTGTTTGGAGTTTGAAAAGGGCTGATTGTTCCTCCACCGTCTGGTGCATCGAGACACGAGAAGCACAGAGTGTGTGTGTGTGTGTGTGTGTGTGTGTGTGTGTGTGTGTGTGTCTGTGTGTGTGTGTGTGTCTGTGTGTGTGTGTGTGTGTGTGTGTCTGTGTCTGTGTGTGTCTGTGTGTGTGTGTGTGTGTGTCTGTGTGTGTGTGTGTGTGTCTGTGTGTGTGTGTGTGTGTGTCTGTGTGTGTGTGTGTCTGTGTGTGTCTGTGTCTAAACCATTTTCAGTCTTGGCCTGGTCCTGGCCTCAGTCTCTGTCTCAGTCCTGGTCTTGGTCTGTTCCCTGACTTGGTTTAGACCTGGTTTAGACCTGGTTTAGTCCTGGTTTAGTCCTGGTTTAGACCTGGTTTAGACCTGGTTTAGACCTGGTTTAGTCCTGGTTTAGTCCTGGTTTAGACCTGGTTTAGACCTGGTTTAGACCTGGTTTAGACCTGGTTTAGTCCTGGTTTAGTCCTGGTCTTTTGTGCCACTAACTGTTAATCTGTTAAACTCAGTGCAGGTAAAAAATCATTCTAAAAGACTCAGGGATTGTGCAATAATGAACAGAACAGAAGGATGTAAAGGGTTTTTGTTCAGGATCATTTAAGGGTCGTTTTAAGGGTCGTTTTAAGGGTCGTTTTAAGGGTCGTGTTGGTGCGTCTCTCGTGCTCAGATTTGGTCTCATATTTACTTTGTTTGATGTTGTTTGTTTATCTGCTGCTTTGTGTCGTCCTGTTTTTTGATAAAACATGTGACCCTCGTCCCAAGACAAACTCCTCCCATGAGAGACAAAAAAGGATCATTTTATCTGATCTTTATTATTTCTGTTTTTGAGACGTTTGCGGCTGAAATAATATTTAATAATGAGACTTGACTGACGTGTCGGGGCCGACGTGTCGGGGCCCGCGACACGTCCCCGCGGCCCCTGGAACACGCCTCTCGCTGTGAAACCACAACGTGAGTCCAGACAGGCCTCGATTAAAGAGTCAACGATTCTTTAACCTGACACACACGGGGAGGGACCTGACACACACGGGGAGGGACCTGACACACACGGGGAGGGACCTGACACACACACGGGGAGGGACCTGACACACACGGGGAGGGACCTGACACACACGGGGAGGGACCTGACACACACGGGGGGGGACCTGACACACACGGGGAGGGACCTGACACACGGGGAGGGACCTGACACACACGGGGAGGGACCTGACACACACGGGGAGGGACCTGACACACACGGGGAGGGACCTGACACACACGGGGAGGGGACCTGACACACACGGGGAGGGACCTGACACACACGGGGGGGGGGGGGGGGCTGGTGTGATCTGAGCGCTCGAGGGTTCATGTCACACTTTGCATTTTAATGAGGCCCCGTGCACACGCCCTGCAGAATTGAACTTTTCTCCTGTGAACCGGTTCTCGTTCTCGTTCTTGTTCTCGAGGCTCTGAGCTCAAATCTTGTGCCCCGACCTGAACCCGCGCACATTAAAGCTGCCGTGTGCTGCTCGTCTGTGTGAATCAAACACAAAAACTGACAGACGTTGGTGCTGCAAAAAGTTTGGTTTGTGCTGTTTGAGTTTTGGAGATTTTAATGATTCTTTTATGGGTCAAACTGGGATCACAGCCCCAAAAACGACACAAAATGGAGTCGATCGTTTGAGTTTTATTTGTGCTGCAAAAAGTTTGGTTTGTGTGATTCAGGTTTTTAAGATGTGAACAGTTTTATTTTGGGTCGACGTCTCAAAATGTGAAACTGCCTCAAAACAGCAGAAAATTAAACCAAATGTTTGTGTTTGGTTTGTGTTGTTTGTTTTTATTTGTGTGAATTTATTTCTAAAATTATTATTTCTAAAATTATATTCTGGTCATTTCTGTTCAACTGACGACAGCGACTTTAACAAAACTCCACAAAACTCGTGAAGAGAAACGACCTGAGGCTGTGGAAACGTCTGGATCCGTCTGGAGTCACTCACTTTTGATTTATATTTTCTATAACAGACGTTTCCACAGCCTCAGGTCGTTTCTCTTCACGAGTTTTGTGGAGTTTTATTAAAGTCGCTGTCGTCAGCTGAGAAGAAATGACCAAAATATAATTTATGCAAAAATAATAATGAATCATTTTAGAAATAAACTCACACAAATAAAGAGTCAAACACAAAACACACAAACCAAACACAAACGTCTGGTTTAATTTTCTGCTGTTTTGAGCCAGTTTCACATTTTGAGGGTCTGGACGAGCCCCCAGTCCAGCGCCGCCTCCTGCCTCCGCTCAGTTTCATTTGTCTCCAGCTCGAGGTCAGAGGTCAGAAAACACTAGACCAGTGGTGTCCAAACTTTTTTCATCAAGGGCCACAGACGAAGCAGAGGGACGATCGAGGCCAAAGACTGGAGCTCAGTACAGTGAAGAATTAAAATCTGTGCAGGTTCAACACGTTAGAAAGACACGTCAGATTTAATTCACACTAAGATCCTTCAAACCAAACACTAAATATTCAGTATTGGCTTTTATCAAGGCAGATTTTCAAAAAACTTGCAATAAAAAGTACATTTTTCATTGATGTTAGGTCATTTGGGCCAAGAATAATTTGTCTGAGGGCCACATTTGGCCCACGAGCCATAGTTTGGACACGCCTGCTCTAGACGGTTTGAAGAACCCCAGAAGTGTTAAACCGCTCACCGGCCAATCAGAGAAGAGCTGAACCAACCCGAGTCGTGACGTCAGACGAGATCCTCTGGACTTTTGTCCAACACAAACGTCACATTTTTATCTTTAATTCACAAGTTCATCTGCAGAAACGACGTGATCGTCACAGACGTGTTCACTCTGCTTTGTCTGCATTCCGGAGGATTACCTACGTCACGACCAAACGGCAGCGACTGGTTCAATAAAACAACGACCCGACTACTGTCGAGCGAACGAATCCTGACGCCGCAGGTCACACGGTTTCCACCAAGTGAAACCGACTCAGGAAGCAGGATTATGGACGACGTCATCGACCCAAAATAAAACTGTTCATATCTTAAGAACCAGAATCACACAAACAGAACTTTTGTCGTAGTTGTTGTGCAGTTGTGCGTTTGATGGGGACCCCCCCCCCCTGCTGGTGACGTGTGGAACTGCAGGTCAGAGCTTTAAACCTTCTGTCTCCATGGAGACCAAACCAGACCAAGATACAGGTCAGATCTGTGGAGAGGCGTACGTTATGTGCAACAGTTAAAACCCCAGAGGAGTCAACACCTGCTCTTTAAAGGTGCATTCTGGAACTTTTCTGCTCGAGGGTCTTTACATTTATTCAATCACAGGTGGATTTACGGCTCAAAAATCCCCCCAAAAAACAAACCCTGTGACTGTGACTGGGGTCGCCTCTCCACAGATCTGACCCGTGACCTCGTCTGGTTTGGTTTCCGTGGCGATAAAAAGGTTTAAAGTCAGAAAAGTTACACAGTCCTCAGGAAAAACTCAGGCCTCAGTTTATTTTCAGACTCGTTTCTCAGGTTTGAAACTAAAGTTCAACAAACCAGAAGAACAAGAAAAACTGAAACAGAAGTGTGTCAGATGCCCTCCCCAAGTGTGTCGAGGTGTGTGTGTGTGTGTGTGTGTGTGTGTGTGTGTGTGTGTGTGTGTGTGTGTCTGTGTGTGTGTGTGTGTGTGTGTGTGTGTGTGTTGTGTGTGTGTGTGTGTGTGTGTGTGTGTGTGTGTGTGTGTGTGTGTGTGTGTGTGTGTGTGTGTGTGTGTGTGTGTGTGTGTGTGTGTGTGTGTGTGTGTGTGTGTGTGTGTGTGTGTGTG